TTGTTGTTGTTTGTTTGTTTGTTCTGTTTTACTGTTCCTCTGCCTTATTTCTCTATTGTTTATTGCTTCTTTTCTTTTTCATTTTCCCAATGAATAGGCGCACGAGATAATATTTACTTTGCGTTCTGATGAGAGTGCAAGTTAAACTATTATTGTTTTTTTCAGTAACTTCCTATATCTCGTTCAAATATAATTTGGGACTTTAAATCATTAAGAAAATGAATGACGATAACAAACAGCAGATCTTCGGTAAAATAAAAGTAAAACGGGTGAATGGAGAGTGTTAGGAATGGTAGAAAGAGAAAAATAAGGAAATCCATGTCGGGCTTTTCTTTTTTCTTCTTGTACTGTATATGTGTGTGTGTTTCTTTTTTTTTTTCTTGTATTTGGCCTTTTGGGCGCCTTTTGTAAATGTTCTCATTTGTTGGACAGAGGACGTTGTTGGTCTTTCCTCCACAGATTATTCTCCTATTTCACGTCTCCCTATTCTTTTTTTTTTTGTTGTTGTTCTTTTCCTCGCTGTTGCTCATGTTATTATTATTATTGTTGTTGTTGTTACACTTGAAACTGCCACAGTTTGGGGAACTGCAGGAGAACTGACACGTTTCTTCTTTCTTTCTTTATTTCTTTGTTGTGTTGTTTCTCTAACACGGGTGCGGTGTTGCGTAGGGGTCACAAGGAACCGGGGAAAAATAGTAGAGCTATTAACAAATACAAAAAGAAAAAGAGAACGGGAAAGGCGGTAAAAAGAAAAAAAGAAGGTATATTGAATATATTACAGAAAGAAAAGGCCAGCCCAACCTTACCGAAATAAAACAAAAAAAAAAAAAAAGAACGAAATATACGCACGTACACATATCCCAAAAAAAGAAAAAGAAAAAGGAAAAAAAAAACCAAAAGGTCAGTTATATCAAGAAAAGTAAATGCCTTCTCATAAAAATGGTTCAAATGGCGGTGCGGCTGGTGACTCAAAGGACGACACTGTCGTGACATACCAAACACCTTTTCCCATCACTGGGCCGGAAGTGCAACACGGTGGGCGCACATATCGACTTGCAACAAAGCAAGATTGTCTCTCTTTCCGCAATTTTGCAGACTCACTAGATGGTTTTGTATTACAGTACAACCGAAAAAATGAAGTGATTACGTGGAATAAAAAGATTTCGGGGGAGCCAATGCGTGTCATCAAAGTATTTGGTGTTTTTCCCGATATACAACCTCAAACATTATATGATATGCTTCAAGATGCTATATTTCGTGAAGTTTGGGATAACTTTCGTATTGATGCTTTCCGTATTGTAAAACTTGATGAGAATAATGATATTGGATATTATGCGGCGAAAAGTCCGGTACCCGGAGTCGCGAATCGTGATTTTGTAAATCAACGTGCGTGGATTAATGCTGGAAATGATGAATATGTTATTTTTAACACATCTGTACCACACCGAGACGTTCCCTTGGATTACTTAAAGGCGAAAAAAATCAGCAGCGACAGTGTTGTTCGTGCGATATCAAAAATCACAGGATATCTTGTACGCCCATGGACTGATGAGAATGGGAAAAAGGGTTCCTGTCTCACATATATTACGCAATGTGACCCTGCCGGATGGATTCCAACACCAGTGACAAATTTTATCAGCACTAAGTTTGCACCCAATACCATTAGGACCGTGGAAGAAGCTGCGAAACAGTTTAAAGAGTGGCTTCCCAAACAGAAGGACTACGTCAAGGATTGGCCTGAAACAGCAGACCCATATGGCGTACCGGTTCAGCATCTAACAATTGAGTTTGCAAAAGAAAAATGGGGTTCAGATGGAGATTCTGGTAAACAGAAAAAAGGAAAAACTTCTAAAGGTTAAAAGTTTTGAAGACATATTGCTCAAGAGGATAGGGTAGAATAAGGTGAAATGAAAAAAAAAAGAAAAAAAAATGGCAGGAAGAGATGCTATATTTCTCTTGACTCTTCAACTGCGATCGTTTTTTTTTTTTTTTTCATACCGTAGTTAACAATGTACTGGGAGAATCACATTGTTTTTGTTTTTTTCTTTTTTTCTTTCTTTTTTTTTTGTTCTTTCTTTGACTCATACACCCTTCTTGCGTTCTATATCTGTGCATATTTGTGATGGTGTCTCATTTGTTTATTCTTTGTTTTTGTTTTTCTTCTCTTTCCCTATGTTTATGTGTGGGTACTCTTTCACTTACGAGAGGATTCCCTTCACCATATTCGCTGCCCGGTTTCCCATCTGTGACAAACAGATAAATGGGTAATTATTTGGGGTTTTTGTTTTTTCCCCTGGCAGCCATTGAACCGACCCATTCAACTCGAATTTACATGCATAGTTGCTTTGCTTTAATTGCAAGCGTATATTTAAATGTAGAAGGAATTCCAGAGGGGTAAAGATAAAAAGAAAGGAAGAGATGGGTGAAGAAGGAACAAGGGGGGAAAAAAAAAGATAACTTATCCAATATGGAGTTTGTGCCGGAGAACTATATTTATTCCTTCACTACTGTGTTACTCCTTCTTTCATTTATTTCTGCATTTCTTTGTGTGTGTGTGTGTGTTGTTATTGTTATTGTTGTTGCTTTTATTATTTTATTTTATTTTTCGTCTTCATTTTTTTTTTTTTGATAATGATATTTATTCTTGTATGATTATTAGATGGAAGAGAAGGATAGAATTTCTTGCAAGACGCCGCTTTCACCAGCACCGCTGCGTCCAGGCTGTGTTCCCTCGCTACAGTACAGGAAGATTCCCGCCATCGCTGCGGGGAGCTTAAGTAGAAGTAGTGGTAGTGGTAGCGGCAGTAATAACAATAACAATGAGAGAAGAAAAAAATCATTAAATGCAAAGGTGGGCGGGGATTCACCCACATGGTGTACCCAAACGAACAGTATTCCTACAATAATGCGAGGAGGACGAAAAAGTAATATAGTGACAGATATGGCAGGAACTATTTCATCACAACGACAACAGGCCCTAAGTATCGATAAGGACTCTTGTAGGACCACCACAGGAAAAGTAACGGCTTCCAGCAGCAGTAGCAATAACGAGAACGATAATAACAACAGTAGTGGTATTACAGGAGGAAATAGAAGTTCATATCATAGCAGGTATCCAATATCAGAAGGTGAAACTGCTATAGAGAGGGATGAAAACCCTATTTTACAATGCACAAATGGAACTGTTTCCCCTTTCCTTTTAAAAGGAGAGCATTTGGAATTACGATACGCTTCTCCATCGGTGCGAAAGAATGATTTCACCTCTGTTGTTGACATTCATGCGAATGAAATGCGACGTCTAGAGCAGCAACACCAACGTTTGTACCGTCGAGCACTATATGTGTTGCAGCAGACACACCCTGATCCATGGTGTCGTTTCCAACCATCACTCTACTACGATACTCAAATGCCAGAGTTAATTGCCTATGACGATAATCTTATGTTTTCTCGTGTAAAACGTGAAGTGAGGGATACCGGTATCATGTGGCTCTCAGCGAAGGAAAATATAGTATAAATAAATAGATTTTGTGTTCGATTTTTAGATGATTAGATGAGGTTATTCACATTGCTCTATAGTATTTATGTCCAGACACTCCCATATACGTATACATATATATCTAGTGTATGTGTGTATTCTGGATTGAGGTAACTAGAGCTATCTTGCTCAGGAAAACATTGTATATTTAAAGAGAAAGAAAGAGGGAGAGAGAGAGAGAGAGAACGAAAAAAAAAAAAAAAACGATCAAAAGAAAAAGAAAGATGAAGTAGGGTACGTTATGCAAACATTATAACAAGTAAAGATGCTGTTTTATTATTATTATTATTATTATTTTATGATCCTCTTCTTTCCTGCTTCTTCATTCCATTGAGAGGTGCTGGCCTCTGCATATAGCATATAGAAGGTAAAAGGGAGCAGAAAGTATAGCTTCACCCATCAACGAAAACAAATACAAAAAAAAAAAAAAAAAAAAAAAAAAACGACAACAAAGAATAAGATACAAGGGGGAAATAACAAGATAGAAGTAAGGTGGGAAAAAAGAAAAAGGAAGATGGGATTCACCGATATGAACACATTCGTTTCCCCAACGCTTGACTCCAAAGTAACCGGTGATGAAGGTCTCTACGCTGCTATTGAGGCTGCTCGTTTGGCGCGTGCCTTACGTGGTGCTACGATTCGTCCCCATGTGCGGGGAAACCCAGGGATTAATCCTAACAGCATTCCACTTGCAGAACCTCCAAAGAAATGGGTGGTGCCTTCACTTAGTGAATCTGCAGAAGATGAAGTGTTGAAGGCAGCGAGTGGTGGAGACAAGGCGGTAATGCAATATCGTCAGCAAGTTGCCGTCGCTATACCAGATGATGCAGACTTGGAAGAGTTGCGTGCAGTTGTATCGTATATTCACCATATAAAACCTCATCCTGTTATGAATTTTGATGATGTGAAACGACTATTACATGTAATGGATCTACCAGGCGCTAATATCACCTGTTTAAACTTTGGTGATGGTGCTATTATGCCACACAGTCACGCAGAGGCAACACCTATAACTGTTATGGCAAAGATAGAAGAACTGAAAATGCGTTTTCCACTACCAACACCAAAGCCAAAAAAAACGTCAGATGGTAGTGAAGAAGAAGATGATGATGATGATGAAGAAGCGGAAGACGATGTTGATCTCGATACTAATGAAGAATTAAAAGCCTGGTGCCAGAGTCAACAATTGGAGTATACAAATTACGATGATGCCTTGCGTTCCAGGGCTGCCTATGAGCTGGATACATTTCGAAACATATGCAATCTCCTCATGTACGATAAGAAGGTTCGTGTTCTGCTTCTTGATCACAATCAATTGGGAATGCCTAATGAAGAGGATCGTCTCTCCCTTGTTCCATTACGACTCCTTGCGAAAGTTATTGATGCGAATGAAACCATAAAAGTACTAGATCTCAGCAGTAATGAGTTAGGACCCCATGGTTTTGGTATTATTGGCAAAGCCATGACTAAAAACATTTCTATTGTTGCATTAGATCTATCAAACAATCAACTGGGAATGCAAGTACCTGAATTGGATGAAGATCCTGAATATAAGGAGGAAGATCCTGTGTTTGGTGAAACATACAATGGACTGGAGGCGATCAGTGAAGTCCTTAAAAAGAACAAGTTCCTACGCTATCTGCGTCTGGCTCACAACCAAATCCACAGCGGGGCGGAAGGAGAAGAGCCACCGGTCGTCAATCCGGCGGAAATGGATCCCGAGCACGACGCCAACACGCCAGATGTTGAGAGTTGGCAGGACCTCCCGCTTTGGCGTCTCGTTGGCCCGCTGCGGGAGTACCACCGACTCACCGCCCTCGATCTCACCGGCAACGAACTCGGGCCGGAGGGGGCCCGCATGATCGCCACCGCACTCGCGGAGAACCATTCCCTTCAGGTCTTGGACCTTACCGCGAATAACATTGGCTTCCGTGGACTGCACTACATAGCGAAGCTTTTACTCGCATCTAAGCACAGTGTTCTACATACACTCATTTTAAGAAGAAATGAACTCGCCGGAAAGAAAACGAGTAGGTCACAACAAAAAATGGCTTTAGTCGCTATGGAAGCAGTTGCATTGGCATTAGAGAATAATAATAAACTTCGTCGTTTTTCAGTTGCTGGAAATTATTTGGGTCCAACTTTATGTTCTGCTTTACTTCGTACTATTGGTACAGCTTCTGCTTTGGAGGAATTAGATCTTGAAAGTAATGATGCTTGTGGAGATGTTTCAGCACCACATGATACAACAGCTCTACGTTTTATTGCTGCCGCACTCTATGGAACAGCTTTGTGTGGTTGTCGTCCATCATTAGCCGTGCTTCGACTTGGTAGTAATAATATTCAATCAGCTGGAATGCGTGTGTTATTTCCATTTCCTGCTTCTATGCCAACATCTCTTCGTGAAGTTGATCTCAGCCGTAATAATATCTACAATGATCTTGACTCTGTGAATCATCTTTTGATTAGTTCACCTATATTAAATCGTCTTGTATTAGCATTCAATGGTATTACTGCAGCTCCTGCTTTAATACATGGTATTACTGTTAACACAGGATTGGCTGAGCTTGATCTTTCTCATAACAAATTGGGTTCTCTAAAGGAGCAGTATTGTTCTGATCCAGAGGCACAAGTTACAGGAGTGACAAATCTTTTGCAGGTTTTAGTTAGACATCCATCACTTGAAAATGTTGATCTTAGTTATAATGAGTTTCATGCTATACATGGTCGATTACTTGCAGAGTTGTGCAATGGGAATAATTCTCATCATAAATTACGTCGTCTTGATTTAAGCGGAAATCCAGAAATTAATCAACAGGATGTTGAACAGATGGTGCAATCACTTGCCAATAACCCTGGTATGGAGGCCTTTTACATTTCTACTCCATACCCAGCAACAGCAAGTAGTGGTGGTGTAATACGTCCAGTTGGTCAAGATGCTGCAGCAGAAACTTTTGAACAACAAGGTCAACAACAAGAGTCGCTATTAAAGGTTCTATGGGAAACCGTACGTCAGAGTCCTTCTCTCCTTGATATTAACTGTGACCTGCAGAAGCGTATCATACCAGAAGAGGACACTCACACTACAGAGGGTGACATAATCGGGGAGATGAGACGGCGTTTGTTGCTAAATACCATTCTAGCACAGGCTAGGGAGAGTACTGCTTGATGATACTTTTGACCACAGCGATAGTACATGTCAGTATGGTGTAATAATCATTTCTGTATTTAATGGACTCTGTGTGTGTGTGTGTGTGTGTGTTTTTTTTTTTTCTTCTTCATGGTCGTTTTATATTAAGTGGAATTATGTACAAAATCAAGTGGAATTATGATGATTGGATAAAGGCAAACAGAGGTAGAAAAATAAAAATGAAAAAAGGGGGAGAGTACCTTCCAAGGAGAAGGATGTAAACTGAGTTATGTCAAACAACTGGCCTTCTTTTTTTTTTTTTTTTTCTTACCTTGGTGTAAATAATGGTGTGATTTCTCTTGTTGTTGTTGTTGTTGTTTTACGTCTGTGTATGTTTGTATTTCTGTTCGTTTTTGCCCTTGTTATTACTGAAAGAGGGGAAAAAAAGAAAACCGAAGAAATTTCAGCTCGTTGCTCTTATGTATCTAGCGAGTGGCCAATCCGTATTGACTGGAACTGTTTCCATACTTCTGAAACAAAAAGTAATCTCTTTGGACCTTTATTTTTTTTTTTTTTTTTTTTATTGCATTTTTTTTTTGTGTGTGTGTGTTTCACATTCTTTTCTTTTATTATTCTTTTTTTCTTTTTCTTCTTCTTATTGGACCAAGTGAAAGTAAGTGGAGTAGTGCAAAGATGAGGATTGAGCAGTGTTCCTTCTGCGGATCACCCATCTACCCTGGACACGGCCAGATGTTCGTGCGCAATGATTGCAAGATATTCCGCTTTTGTGCCTCCAAGTGCCGTAAGAACTTTGGTATGAAACGCAACCCGATGAAGCTGAAGTGGACCAAAACATTCCGAAAGGCCAACGGCAAAGAACTTGCAGTGGATAGCACAATGGACTTTGAACAGCGCCGACATGTTCCGGTGAAGTACAACCGTGAGTTACTGCATGACACACTCAAGGTGATGAAGCGTGTGGAGAAAATCAAGGAGCAGCGGCAGGAGGCCATTTGGAACCACCGCATGGAGAAGGCACGCCTGCAGGAACGCCGCGATGCTGCTGTAGCGCTGAAGCACAACATTGACTGGATCGAGGATAGTGAAGTGAAACACAAGGCACGTGATGATCTTGTTGCTATTCAGCAGGAGACAGAAGCAAAGCGCCAGCAGCGTCGTGAAGCGGCTCGCAAACGTGCACAGAAGCGGCGCGAGGTTGAAAAGGCGGCAGGAGTTTCACGTCTTTCTTCTGTAAAGAAGCGACACTAAATGAATGAAGAGAGACAAGAAAAAAAAGAAAAAGAAAGAAATGAGAGGGGGAAAAAAGAAATGAATGAATGAGAAAGGTGTAATTGAAGGATAGAATTTTTCCCGCTTTTCACAACCACGTGTAATGAAGAAAAAAAAAAGGAAAAGAGAAATGAAGTGATACACAAGAGGTACAGTGTAATGCAAACATGTACACAGAGGCAGGTGATGAATAGCAGCAGTGTAACAACAACAACAACAACAACAAATACGATCCAAAAGGGGTCACGAGTCGAATAAGTAGTCAATAAAAAGATGAAACGGTGGGAAAATAAAAAGAAAAAACAGCAGTATGCCTACATATATCTATATATGTCCTGGTAATCTCTTTATTATGGTCAATATATGAGTAATAAGAGTGCTGCACCTTTAGTGCATTTTACCCATTTGCTTCTCCTTTTTTTTTTTTTTTTTTGATTCTCCTCATTGCTTCAGACATCGCTTCTTTTCTTTTCTTCTTTTCTTTTGGACGCGCTTACGCACATATATATATATATACTTTCTTAAAGGCGATAGAACGAGGAAAGGAAATCCCCCTTCTCCTGTGTGTGTGTGTTTTTTTTTAAATTCTTTTGTGTTAGAAAAAGAGAAGAAAGAAAGGAAAAAAAAAGGAGGATCTTCTGATGGTTGTGACTCGTTCCCAGACAAAACAGCAAACAAACTCATTCACCAACGACGATAACGATAACGGTGAAACATCGTCTATGGTGCGTGACACGCCCCAAGAAATACCGCAAGAGCGATTGGGTCGTGGATGTCGTGTGCCTCGACCAGCCCGTGACTCCTATGACTCACTATATCTAGCAAAGGCGATGCTGCCAGTCTCGAAAAGACGAGCAGAATCTGGGGAACTGCAAATTAATTCACGCTACCCGGAACGAGATGCTGCTAAGAGGGCTCTTGTAAAGATGAGTTCTACATTACATTCATTGGATGAAGATTCCATGCAATTATTTGGTGGACTTCAGGAAGAAGCGGATGATAATGAGAAATGCAGTAGTGTAGATGATGGTAGTTTGGCTGGTGTAGCCTCTTCACAGTTGCGTGGAAAAAAACGTAATTTTAACCGATATAAAGTTGGAACGCATAAACGATCTCGTGCATCATCTATTGATTCCTCCATTTCAAACGAATCACTACGGGAGACAACACATGGACGTGGTGAAGAAGGTGAAGAACTTCTTGTAGATCACTCTTCTTCAGCATCTTCCTCACCAAGGTGTATGAGTGAGAATGAGGCCCGTGTTGTTTGTAAAAACGCTAAAGAAAGTACCGTAAAAAATGTTCCAATTAATCATTACCTTGATAATGTTATACAAGGCGTTGTGGATTCAAAAAAAACATCAAAACGAAAAGATCAAAGTCATCGACGTCGTATGGAAGATGTTTTTCTTGGACTTGGCGAACACCATGGTGATTCACAAAGTACAGATAAAAATAATCATTTTCAGTCAAAGGAAGAGACTCCTGTGGCTCTAGGTGATATTACTCCTTTACATATTGATACATCAGTCTCATTTGAAAAAGTTGGTGGTTTACCTGGTCATATTGTAATGTTGCGTGAGATGGTGTTATTTCCTTTATTATACCCAGAAGTATTACAGGCGATGAATCTTACCCCTCCACGTGGGGTACTCTTTGTTGGACCTCCAGGTACAGGGAAAACACTCATGGCAAGAGCTTTGGCGAATGAAGGTATACGATGTACTCATCGTAAAATTGCATTCTTTATGCGAAAAGGTGCTGATATTCTTTCAAAATGGGTAGGAGAAAGTGAGCGTCAATTGAGTTTGTTATTTGAAGAAGCTAAACGACAGCAACCGAGTATAATTTTTTTTGATGAAATGGATGGTTTAGTTCCGGTTCGTCATGCTAAATCAGAGCAATCACAAGCTGCCCTTGTCTCAACTCTTCTTGCTCTTATTGATGGTTTAGATGACAGAGGACAAGTTGTTGTTATTGGTGCTACAAACAGACCAGATACCATCGATCCAGCACTTCGTCGTCCTGGTAGGTTTGATCGTGAACTTTATTTTCCTTTACCAGATGCTGCCGCACGTCGACATATTCTTACTATTGTAACACAACCAATGTTACCAATGGATCATCCTGATCGAGAAACAATACTAGAGGAACTCACTGCACGATGCGAAGGATGGTCTGGAGCAGAAATTCAAGCATTATGTACGGAAGCCGGTCTTAACCGATTAAGAACATCCCTTCCACAGATTTATACTACTAGTAGAAAATTACAGATTCCCAAAAATGCTTTAACTATACAAAAAGAAGATTTCTTTATGGCTACACATCGTATTAAATCTTCTGTACGTCGTGGTGCTACTTCTATTGTAAATACTCTTGAAGAACATATAGAACATTTACTTTACAGTACCCGAAATCAAATATTATCATATGTGGCAACCGTTTGGCCAAGTGCATCTGCAGCTCTCACTCGAGAACGAAGAGACTGTAGTAACGCTATTGAAGCAGTACGAGAATTAAGTAGTTTTCCAGTTCCACAAACTGCACACCCATCATTACTATTTCTTACACCTTCCTTAACAGAGGGTAACTGGAGTATTGAGGAATGTGAATTTGCTATAGAAAAGATTTCTATCGCTATTCTCAAAGCACTTCCATCAATACGTAGTTTCACATTAGATCTTCCTCATTTAGTTGTGGATCATGATAATGCTGCAGTGATGGCCGCATCTACTGCTATGACTACAAACTCTAGTAGTGAATCGACAAAAATGGAAGAATGTAGTGCTTCACAGGGTACTAATTTTAATACAGGACACATTTATTCTTGCATCACCGCCTTGCAACAGTCATCTGGACCATCTCTAGTACTTTTACAAGGGTTAGATATGTGGTTAAAAGAATATGGCTTACCAACTAGTAATACTAACACTAATAATTTAACGGAAGAAGAAATTACTGAACGACAAAAACATATGCAGGATTTGTGCTACTATATAAATCTTTTGCGTAATTCGGATGTTCTTGTTTTAGTACCTACTCTTCATGCAGATGTTGGTGATGTGTTTTTTGGTGGTAGATGTCTACACACTCAAATACGTAAAGCATCATGTGTTATTCCTTGTAATCCCAGAAAGGATGATTTACATCGCTTTTTAGAGTATGTATTTCATGTGGTTAATCTAGGTCTATCACACTGTGTGTATACTGGTTGGGTGGATTTGCCTGATGATGTGTCGCCCCCACCACCTCCCTCCTTGGAACAAGTGCGTGCGGCCCGTCACAACGTCATTGATTTGTGGCGTCGTGTAGAATACCGTAGAAGACAGTTACGTTACATTCTGACAAAGTGGGTAAGTCAATACATAAATTCTCGTAAGTTTTCTTTATTTTTCAGTGCCGATCTCGATTTTACACCTGGTCATCAACTCTATGAAGAGTGGCAACAACATACACATGGTCGTCGAATTGGTTTACATGATGTCATGGAAAAACTCGAAAACGAAGAGTATACGAGTCTTTCTCAGTATCATGACGATATTGATTTACTTGTACAAAATGTACGCTCATTTTTTCGTACGCGATCCTCAACAGACCAACGATATCGTAGTCGTGTACTAGAACTCAAGGAAACTACAGTACTAAATCTCTATAAAATCAATCGTAATGTTGTACAATTCTGCGAGGAACACAAGGATTTGGCAGAACCTGATATATCATCATCATCATCATCATCGGTAGCGTCTTCTCAGGAGAGTTCAGGTAAAGTTCTTGGAAAACCAGGCATAGCAAGAAATACAACAATAAATCAGAACACTAATATAACACGCAGGCGGCCACCACGTCGATATTATGGCTCTCGTCGTCGTCGACGTCGTCGCGTCACTCGTCCTTCTGTAGCCAGTAGAATTGAAAAAACGGAGATGAAAAAAGAAGAAGAACAGGAACAGGAGGAAGAAGAAGAAAATGTGATCGAGGAAGATAAGGATGGAGTGAATTTTACTGAAACACCTATGGATGAAGGAAAAAATGGAGACCCTGTAATTTCTACAGCTTCTATGGATGGTATTAACGGCAGCAGTTGCAACGGGAATAAGAGCAACAATATTGAAATAACGCCAAAAGGTAATGGCATCTCGGAGATTGATTTCTGTGCGGAGGCGTTGAATACATATTCATTTTTTTCTCTTGATTGCGTCTTTAGAGCAGCAATGCCTTTGCTAGAAGCAGAAATTAGTAGGAGACTTAAACAACAACAAGAAGAAAATCGACAAGAGGGTGAGTCTACATCGTTTCTTGATGGGACGAACGTTGAGGGGAGTGCCTCATTTTTTCAGCGAATGATTCATGAAGCAATACAAGCGACGGGTAAAGAAGCCAAGATTGTAAACCCTCAATAAGAGGTGAGTCAAGGCAGGAATTGATAACAACTATTCTACTGCATTAACGATTCGAAATGGAGAGAAAGTGTGTGTGTGTGTGTGGAAGAAAAAAAAAATGGTCGAATGGAAGAGAAAAGAATAAGAGAAGGAAAAAAAAAAAAAAACAGACAAGCAATAGAAATTGTATTTGCTTATTTTTTTGTTTTTTTGTTTTATATTGATTACCCTGACTTCTCCCAATATCACTCTTTTGCACCTTTTTCTTTTGTTTATGATACCTTTATTTGTTAGTACTGTAGCAATTGATCTCACTCAACTTGAAGGGTGAGAGAAAAGGGTTGAAAAGAGAACGAAAGAAAAATAATAATAATAATTATTATTATTATTATTATTTTGTTTTTCGCGAGGCCCTGCATATGTCATCTCTCTCTGAAGAGATTCTGAAACTCTCCGAGTTGTTTACCAATGGTATCCTTTCACCTGAAGAGTTCAAAGCTGCCAAAGAGGCGGCAATCAAACGCTACAATTTACCGTCTGCGTCTCCCGCAGAGGACGTAAAGGATCATGTGAAAGAAGTAAAACAGCATATTCCCTTCTCACGTATTAACATTAGTGAATTCGATGAGGACGCTGCGGGGCAGGCAAACCGTGAGAAGGCTTATGGTCTCATGGAGACAATTTTGCGTAATCTTCAGTTTCATCCAATGGAACAGAAGTACAGACGGTTGCGTCTTGGCAACCCTGTGTTGCAATCCCAATTATTTTCTGTTCCTGGAACTATGACATTTTTGGGATCACTTGGATTTATAGTTGAAAGAGATGAAGAGAAAAGAGAAGAAAATATGTGGCTTCCTGATGTACCTCAGAAAAATCTCTTGAATGAGGCACTGGAAGCCATTAACTTTCTTCGAAATCGCGATCGAGAAGCGCAAACCCATACACGGGATTACATGCGTCTTCGACAGAATCTTAGTCTTGCAGTGCGCCGCGAACGGTGGGAAAGAGCCAAAGCTGTGGGTGAATTACGTACATACATTGCACAGGAGTTTTGTGCAGACGACGCCGGTGATGGCCTTCATACCTCTGCATCAAATTTGGAGAAACTCGATAGCATCCTGAGAAATATACTCCATCACCCAACAGAGGGAAAGTACCGTAAGCTCCGACTTTGTAATAAATCGGTTTACCGAGCTGTGGTGCAACAGCGTGGAGGACTAGAACTTCTTCTTGAATGCGCTGGAGCTGAATTGGAAGAAGAGGGAGGAGGAGAGGCTTACCTGGTCTTCCGCGAGGGTGCCGTGACACAAGCTGAACTTGAGTCTGCCCTTAGGACGTTAGAAGATTCTCAGCGAGCGGTGCAACAGGCACGCGAGGATGCTAGCCGACGAGAACGGGAGGAAGCGTTGGAGTTAATGCGCAAGGAGATGCGCCGCGCAAGACAGCAAGAGGGTCTGCAAGTTAGACGCGGCACTAAGGAAGGGTCACAAGGAGGAGGTCCAGAGCATCCAGAGGAAGAAGGACATCAATCAAGACGCCGCGTTCCCATAGCAGAGGCGGTGCGTTATCTTATGGGAAAGGGAGATGCATGCGAAAAATATGGCAAAGATGAGGAGGGGGAGGGGGAAGAAAACGAAGAAAGGAGGGAGTAACAGTGAAAACGGTTGCGTGCGCGCGTTGTCTCTTTCGTCCTGTCACGTAGTGTGTTTATTATTATTATTATTATTATTATTTTTATTATTGTTGTTGTTTTTTTTTTTTTTTGCGTGCTTGTATTTCTGGGTTGTTTGCTACTGTGTCCCTTCCGTCCTTGTTTTTATTCTTCTTTTTTCCAACGCCCGAGTGCAAAGAAGTCTTTGTCGTTTTTTTTTTTTTTTGCTTCTATTTCTGTTTCGTGCGCGGGGGAAAAAGGGCGAAAAAAAAGAAAGGAGGGAGAGAAAAGGGAAACAAGGGACCGCCACGTCCCAGAGTTACTTCGTTGTTGTTGCCGCTTCCGTTCCTCAAGCGGTGCGGGGGCGGACGAAAAGGGAACCTTTCCTCGGTTCGACCTCGGCCCGCACCCCCACCGGAATCCCCCGAGCCAAACGGACCCCCGCGGCGGCGAAAAAGAGGCGGGGGCCGCGGTTTCGGAGGGATCGGCCGGGCCCTTCGGGTTCGGGTGGTGGTTCGCCGTCGCCCGGTTTTCGGGGGGAAAAAAAAAAGAGGCGGGGGTGACTTTTTGAACGGGATGGCGGGGGCGTGATGAACCCACCGCTTTCCCCCGGGCGCCCCTTTTGGGAACAGCCATTCGAAGGTTCTTCTGGGGAACGATCTCCCGCCAAAAAAAAAAAAAAGAAGACCATTATCGGACATTTTCCCCACAAAAGCCGCTCTTGTGTCTTTTTGTGTTGTTGTTTTTCCCCGCGACTTTGCGGACATTACCCCGGCGGTTCGGCCACCAACCGTAGAGCACCTTAATTACCGGCTTACGGGTGGCTCCGAAGAGGAAGAAGATCCCTTCGTTTTATAGGACCCCCAAGCTCTTGTAATATGATTTTTTGTTGCAGCCCGTTCCCATACGAGAAAACCAGTCTAAGAGAGATCTGATCGAGTAAACCCTACCAGATCTCTCTACTCTCGCTGTTCTTACCCAGAACCCATCCTCCAGTCTCCTTTTTGTTATTATTATTTTTTTCTTATTTTTTTTTTTTGCGACAGATTGGCCCCAACGCATTCCTATTTATTTTGTTGCTTGTTGGGTCGGCGGCAGACGTCTTGAGCCTACTCTTCTATCAGGGTTTCCATGCTCGAGCTCGTCGCTGATTTTAGAGAGGTGGGGGCAGGCTGCGTAGGGTTTCTTGGGTGAAAAGAGAAGGATATAGCGATGTTCCGCTCCATTGAAATGGGGAACTGGTCGAACCGCTTAGAAAAACATAGTTTCATCAGGGGTATATCATCCACGATCGCAAATTGAACTCGCAGTGGATGAAGAGTGGGGCAACTCAAGAGATGCAGAGCAGTTTCGTCGCATTCGTCACGTTGGCTGGTGTGCGCGTGGGTAGGTTGATACCCGTGTCGTGGCATTCGGTGTAGAGTTGGACCTGACTTACTCATACGCACTGACGGCTGCATGGGGGACAGAATGGTGCCGGAAGGTCTCTTGTTTTCGTTGCCTTGTATCGTGCATTGGCGGTATTCTTTTCATGGCGACGCGTGCCACCGAGTAAAAGGTGCGGTTGAATGGCCACACCATGTCACGAGGGGAACGGGGAAGGGTCATCTTTGCGGAATACCTTTCAAACCCATCTTACCCAGCGTTGAAGTAGGGAAAGCAAGAGTTTTCCACTATGCCCAATCCTCCTCATTTTATAAGTGAAACACCCCAAGGAGCC